GGATCAACAGCGTAGATGGGGCTTTGACCAAAAGAAGGAACACATCTAAACAGACACAAAGCAGTAGAGGGAGGTTAAACATGCATAAATAAACCAGCATGTTCTGTTTTTTCAGACTGTCTTTAAAATTCAGTGTGTATGGCACACTCACCCTGTGGAGAGCGGCTACAGTGTTTATAAAATAAATGTGTTAAGTGGCGCTGTCTCTAACTCTCCAGCAGAGAGGCTCTCCATCAGAGAGGACAGCGTCCCACCCAGACCCAGCTTTTATTCTCTTGTCTGTCTTTTCTAAATCCTTAACTGCCCGCTCCCAGGTTCACCTTGGCTGTGCTGGCACATAAGGCACCCAACATGGGGCTGAGTATGCCATGGCCGTGAGGGCTCGCCACATCACTCCACACCTCAATTAGGACCAGTCACATTTCAAGTGCTCAAAGCCACGTGGGACCAGCGGCTGCCACACTGGGCAGTGCAGGCCTAGACTCAAAAAGGCTGTGGAGAGGGAAGAGGGGGGAATGGAGGGAAGAGTGGGTGCGAAGCCAGTGGGAGTGAGCCCCTGGGTGCCCCTGCTGGGGGTCCTGGAAAGCCCTGGTCCCAAGCCCCAGCTGCTGGGCAGGTGGACAAGCGACACCCACCTTCTTCTGGATGAAGGCCGGGGAGGCCCCGCGGATGGCCAGCAGCGCCGTGTAGCCCAGCGTCTCGCGCACCGTGAGGCTGCTCAGCAGAGTGTCGCTCTGCGGGAGAAGAGGCATCAGTGTGGCCCCAGACCCCGTTGTTGCCGGGCCGGGCGGGCGGGGGCGCGCCCACCTGCAGGACGTAGGAGAAGCAGTCCTGGAACTGGTCCCTGCGCAGCGCCTGGCCGTTCACGCACACCTCCCCGAGCAAGGTCCCCTGGCGCCGCAGCCTCCCGGACACTGCGTCCAGCAGCGTGGTTTTCCCGGAGCCTGGGGGCGAGCAGAGAAGGCCCTGGAGGAAGCCCCGCCACGGGGCATCCAGGAGCTTCCAGAGCCTGGGGCACCAGTCAGGGTCCAGCCTGACTTGTTCTCTCCTGGGCCTCCTAAGGCAAACTCTGGCGGCACCAATGAGCCTTTCCTGCTTGTCGCCTGAGTGACAGGAGGCCCAGCCATTCCCCTCATCCTGGTCTTTGCCTGTTTATCTGCTTTTAAAGCCGGTTCCCACGGAAAAGGACAATCTACGTTCAAAATAAAAGGAAAACCAGGATTTTTGGAAACATTTGGTCCTAAGACATCTGAATTTCTTTTTGTGCCCACCCCCCCGGATCATCAGGTGGTTCCTAAAAGTAGGGGACACTGCCTGGAACCCCGCTCATCAAGTGTGTCCTGGGGACCAGCAACATCAGCATGCCTGAGCCCTTGTTAGCCCGGCAGACTCTCAGGCCCCGCCCACAGCCGCTGAGTCAGATGCTGCTTTCTAACAAGTTCCCTGGGTAAATCCCAGGCACGTTAGCGTTTGAAAAGCACTAGTTTAGCGAGTCCTCCGGTGGCCTCTGCAGGGTATAAACAGCTGTTGCTCCGAACTTCCCGCTGGAGAGCTGGAGTGGACAAGCTGCCTGGATGGGATGGCTTGTGCAACCCTACAGAGAAGATCTTTTGTTCAAATATTTGTAAGGAAACTGCTTGTTGCTTTGGGGGGATACGAAGATAAAGAAGCCACACTCCCGCCCTGGCCGGTTTGGCTCAGTGGATAGAGCATCGGCCTGCGGACTCAAGGGTCCCAGGTTCGATTCCGGTCAAGGGCATGTACCTGGGTTGCGGGCACATCTCCAGTAGGAGGTGTGTCTGGAGGCAGCTGATCGATGTTTCTAACTCTCTATCCCTCTCCCTTTCTCTCTGTAAAAACTCAGTAAAATATATTAAAAACAAAAAACAAAAAAAAGGCCACACTCCCATAGAGTCATCCTCTTTTCTACCCCAGGACTGACCAAGCTCAGAATTAGCCCCAACCTGTTTGGGTAGACGTCAGTGTGGGGAGAGAGGAGAGTGATTGCAAAGAAACAAAGGTGACTTAATAGGGCTGTCATTCAAGATGTGCCCTGAAATGCCCCAGTCACCTTATTGGACCTTGTATGTGGATCTCTAGCTGGAAGCCTCCCTGGCCTTACAGTTCTGGGGTCCAATCTCAGTTCTGACAGAAGCTCTGAGTCTCCAGGAGCCGGGATGCCAGTCCCATCACTGCATCAAAACTGGCCTCCCTGCAGTCGGTCATCGAGGCGACTTCCTTGTGCCAAACACAGAGGGCTTTTTCCCGGATGTTGCACAATACTATGAACACAGGATGTCCCCAAAAATGTAAACACACTGTAACAGCTGATAGCTCAATTTTCAAAACTGAGTATATTTTAATAAACTCTGCCTTTATAGTTATTCAAAGTGTGTGTATACATTTTTGGGGGACACCCTAGATATTTGATCCCACTGAACTGTGTGCACTTAAAATGATTAAGGTGTGAAATTTTCCGTTATGTGTATTTTATTATAATAAAAAAGGGAAAAAGAAACCAAAAAAGGTTAATGCCATACGGGGCAATAAAACCATGACCTTTGGGGTTATCTTGTCTAAAAGTACAGAAATCGTTTGTTACTAGTCTGCTGCAAGGGAACATGCAGCACAGAATCTACGTCCTAATCGATAGCAAATAATGAGTGAAATACAGTTACCTTTCCCTGGAGTGTTGGGTGACCCTAGGCCAGTGGTCGGCAAACTGTGGCCCCTTGAGTGTGGCTCTTCCACAAAATACCACGTGCGGGCGTGCACGTACAGTGTGATTGAAACTTCGTGGCCACACTCAAGAGGCCAAAGAGCCGCATGTGGCTCGTGAGCCGCAGTCTGCCGACCACTGCCCTAGGCAAACTTGTACTTGACCATTCTTTAGTGAGACTTTGAACACCTAAGCCATCTTGTGCCTCACTAATAAAGATTTGATAAATAATGCTGCTTTAGATAAAACACCAATGAAATAATGTCATTTTATGAAACACTAAAAGTAATGCGTAATATTGATTCATTTGCTTATTATTGATTCAACAAATATTTATTAAGCACTTACTATGTGCCCAGCCCTGTTCTAGTTGTTGAAGATAGAGCAGGAAGAGAGAGAGAGACCTCCCACTCCTGTGGAACTCGCATCTAGTGTGAATCCATGTTCAGCATAAAAAGATGGAGACAGTCGTAGAACCACGATTAGGGATCATCAGAAACTAGCCCACGAGCCCCAGACCCAGAACCCCACCCATATCCTCCTGAGATGTGCATGAAGCATACATAATATTGGCCTGTGGGACACCCCTCTGAGAAGGTGGGTTCAATTCCTGGCTGTGTGCTACATGCCGCCCGTTTTTATCCTACACAAGGAAGGCAACAAGTGACAAGTTATTATAGAAACAACAGCTTCTGTTCTTTTTAAAGAAGTATGTTATAATTACTAAAAAGAAATTTAGCACAGCTAGTGTGGCTCAGTGGTTGAGCATCAACCTATGAACCAGGAGGCCATGGTTCGATTCCCGGTCAGGGCATATGCCCAGGTTGCAGGCTCAATCCCCGGGGGGTGGGGGTAGAGGGGCATGTGAGAGGCAGCTGATCAATAATTCTCTCATCATTGATGTTTCTATCTCTCTCTCCCTCTACCTTCCTCTCTGAGATCAATAAAAATACATTTAAAAAAAAGAAATATGAATTAACCTACATGTTAGGCAGGACTTTTTCAAGGATCTTTCTAAATATCTCACATTGGTACCAGGTTGCTTGCATTCGCAGTCAGACATGTCATTAGATTTCGTTCCAATATCAAATTTATTAGGAACGCTGCTACAACTTAAACCTGTTTCCTCATTGTGGGGCTCAAGTCAAGCCACGCAGCCTTTTCTGAATCCTCAGCGAGAGTTTAGAGCTTACCTGAGCTCCCCAAGATGCACATGATCTGCCCGCTCTCCACGTACAAGGAGACATCTTTGAGGATCTGCCTGTTCCACCGCTGCCGACGAGATGCGATGTCCCACCAGGGCCCGACGCGGTAGCTTTAAAGGAAATCCCACGAGTGAAAAGCAGAGTGGGGTCTTAGAAGGGGCCACACTTTGTCCCCCAGCACTGATGCCAGTTATGTCTGGACACGTCGCTAAGCCTGCTTCAGCCTCAGTGTCCTCCTCTGCGGACCCTGGCGAGTAGCGGCCGAGGGTCACCTCTGGAAAGCACCTGCCGGCCGCTGCTCCGCGCTCCAGCGCTCTGGCCGGCTGGGAGGTGGCAAGCAGGACGCTGCTTATCCCTTCGGTTGACCCTGCATTTTCTCACCAGTCTTCATTGCACCTCCTGTTGCAAGCACCCCAATCCCCAAGCCCTCTCCATCCACATCAAACAGATCGTACACAAGGGGGACCCATGGGAAGGGGCAAGGGGCACAGGGGCACGAGGCAGGGCACAGCTGCCGTGTTCAGGGTAGCTGCCAGGTCCTCTGTAGCAGGAGGAGGGGCCGTGCACCCTTGTTCCTCCTTTTTCACTGGCAGCCCTTCCCTCCCTTCTCTCCACCTCGATCCACTGAAGAGGGAGCCGAAGCCTCCAAACATGCCCCCCATGGGCAAGAAGCCAGCAGAGGGGTGAGTAGGCCGCCGCCCACTTACCTGACGCTGTAGGAGGCATGGAAGACGCCCAGGCTGTGCCGCGGCTCTGATGCAGCTCCAGGAACCTCCTCCGAGGAGCCCCGGGGGCCTGTGCTTAGCTGGAGTCCTGAGGACCCCATGGGGGTCAAGGATGGGAGTTCACTCATGGTCAACAGGCAGCACAGGCAGGAGGGCTTTCTGGTGCCCGACCTCCCGGAGTGGCCTGGGCAGAGGAGCCAGCAGCTGACGGCCCGCCGGCTCCTCACCTGGCCCCGGAGTCCCTCGCTGGGCCTGCCCCGCGGCGGGAAGGGGCTTGGCCACAGATGGCATTATCTGATGTACCTTTAGCCAGAGTCGTGTGTTATCTTGGCAGCGGGCAGAGCACACATGCTGTGTGTGTGGGAAGGTTGGCCAGAGAGGAATGCTGGGAGACTGACAGTGGCTCATCAAGCGAGGGCCAGAGGTTGCTCAGCTCCGGGACAGAGAGAAAACACTGGCGCTGGCAGGTGGCAGCTAAGGGCCAAAGGAATAGCAGCAAGGGACACCGACGCTGCCGGGCCCCATGGCTCAGATGGCCCCGGAGGACAGAGGGCTGCAGACCAGGGCTGCTCCCCAGGATGCCTCGGTGAGTGATGGGGCGTCACCTCCATCCTGCCGGGTGTGGGGGAATGGGCCTTATTTTCCTCCCTCGGGAACCTTCTGTCCACAAGTAGAATGAGACCAAGGCAGCTGGACTCTGTTTCCTGGGAGTCGAGCTCAGACTCTCAGTAGCAGTAAACCCTCGAGACCGGATGGCAGGTGACATCTGTGGGAAGCTCGGGTTTATGCTCAAAGTGTGGCTACAGCAGGCAGTTGTGTGATCCCAGAGAGAGCTGGAAGGGACAGGTGACAGCTAGGGGTCGAGAGGCTGGGGTCCAAGGTTTCTGCCCTCATTCCACATAAGAAATGCTCACTGGCCCTAACCGGTTTGGCCCAGGGGATAGAGCGTCGGCCTGCGGACTCAAGAGTCCCAGGTTTGATTCCGGTCAAGGGCATGTACCTTGGTTGCGGGCACATCCCCAGTGGGGAGTGTGCAGGAGGCAGCTGATAGATGTTTCTAACTCTCTATCCTTCTCCCTTCCTCTCTGTCAAAAATCAGTAAAATATATTTTTTTAAAAAAAGAAAAAGAAATGCTCACTGGAGAAATGGCCTTCGACTAAAATTGGGGTGTGGGCAGGATCCGAAGCTGGAGGCTAAATGGGAAGGTTGAAAGGATACCGATCCTCGCCCTCCACCTTGCCTCACCCCACCCTACCTTCCTGTGTCTGCCTGCTCTGGGAAAGAGAGAGAGAGAGAGAGACAAGTCACCGAGGACGCCACACACCATGGGGAAGGCCACAGCCATCTGGCTGGCCTTCAGTTGCTGACTTGAGCCAGGCCCAAGGGACCCACCATTCCTGGTGAGCTCGCCGCCACAGCAGATGACCAGCTCTGCTCTGGGAATGCCCACGGGCCGAGCCCAGCAGGAAATGACTCCCAGGAGCCGTGACTGCCATGCGCACAGCCTGACCAGGATGTGAACTCCACGGTGGCTGACTTTCTCCTAGAGCAGCGGTTCTCAACCTGTGGGTCGAGACCCCTTTGGCGGTCAAACAACCCTTTCACAGGGGTCGCCTAAGACCATCCTGCATATCAGATATTTACATCACGATTCATAACAGTAGCAACATTACAGTTATGAAGTAGCAACGAAAATAATTTTGTGGTTGGGTCACAACATGAGGAACTGTATTTACAGGGGCAGAAGGTTGAGAACCACTGTTCTAGAGGGTCTGGCAGTGCAGCCACCATGGCTTAGGAAGCCGACCTCCAGGAATGCAGGCAGGAGTCCGTGGTGCCCATTCTCTTTCCTCCAATCCTGTTACTCGAGGTGCCAAGAGAACCAGAAGATGAGGGCTACATATCGTATGTCTAGATATTTTAAAGTTAAGCTAAAAACTATTAAATAAAAATAGTGTCTATCCTTTTACCTTCATGTACCTTCCCCACAACCTGGAATGCCAGGTGTAAATTTAAAATTTCTAGGACGTCAGTCCTGGCCAGGTAGCTGATTTGGTTGGAGCATCATCCCGATGAGCCACGGTTTCTGGTTCGATCCCAGTCAAGGCACATACAAGAATCAACCAATGAATGCATCAATAAACGGAGCAACAAATCTCTCTCTCTCACACACCCTCCCTCCCTTCCTCCCTCCCTCTCCTTCTTTCCCTCTTTCTCTCTCCCTTCCTCTCTCTCTCTTTAAAAATCAATAAATTAAAAATAAAATAAAAATTCTAGAACTTCTTGGAGGGACAACTAGAATGGGCTGTCCCGGGGAAACCAGCTTCCAGCCCAAACCACAGCCTGTCTCCCTCCTCTGCTCACCCCCAGCTCCACACGTGACCTCACACACCCACCCTGCCCACCCGCATTCCAGAAACACTCTCCACAGACAGATGCCGCTATGGCCTGGGGTGCCCAGTTGGGCGGTACTGTCCGTCAGGAGGAGGGGCCTGGGCAAGGTCCACCCAGGCCCTGAGAGTGCACTTGCGGTCATTTGCTCAGGGGAATTTTGAGATTCTGGTACGTGGGGTGGCCAGTGTCCTTAGCCACAGACGCCTCAGTCCATGGGTGGGATCCTGACCAGAGGAGGATGAGAGGGGCCCAGGCCTCAGGGCAGAGCTGTGTGAGACCCGAGCGGGACATTTTAGAAAAGGGCCTGGCTGGTCCCCTCCGCCAAGAGCAAAGCCTGTGTGCGTCCTCAGCACGTCACTGCTTGTCCAGGGCACGGGCTCCTCATCTCAGAATGAGGACCCGGTGCTCTGTGCTCCCCAGTCCCCTTGCTCTCCATGCTCCAGCTGAGGAGTTTGATCAGAAGTGAATAGAAGGAGAAATTACAGTGTAGCCCAGCAGGAGCCGAGTGGTTACCTACAAATAAACCTGCCTTTGCTTTTTTGGGTGTCACCTGTCAGAAATTCCAGTGATGTTCTGACAGTCGTACTGATTAAGATGTCGGCCGAATAGATATTTAAGTATTTGAAAAATACAGCGAGTTTGTCAAAACCTCAGGAAGAGTCTCACAAATGCTTCCTGGGAGCCCAGGGAAATATTTCACATGGAACAGAGGCCACAGATGCTCTTCTTGGGAAAGTCGAGCTGCCTGCGCTGCTCCCGAAGGCACAGTTCCCTGAGGGTGGTTGGGGTCTGGGCTGCCCCAGCCGATCCAGGGCGCAGGGGATGTTCTTTCCTCTGAGCC